TTTGTGCTTTAGGAATGATGAATGTGGGAGGTCGAGACTGCGTGTACGCTATTTTGCGACAGAAGATTCGAGATGACTTGTGGATCGTCTCTTCAAAGTCAGTGGAACTACCAGGTGAGCTTACATGACTCTCTTTGAAGCAGCTGACCTATTGGGCAGTGTGGGGAAATATTCTCATGGTCAACTACATGTGTTGGTGGCAAGAAGGAAATTCTGGGGAACATTTGGGAAAATCTTGTTGGTTTCTGAAAACCCGAATTCGCGTATGAACTCCTCAAATTGGCTGTAGAAAGGGAACATTTGTTCCAACCCTGCTATTGAGCACTCTCGTTATCTTCAGAGTACCCGGAGAATGGCGTTCTGCCCGGATATGTCCGATGCGACGTTAAGTTTGCTGGATATGCGATGTCGACCGATGCCGACACTAAGGAGCTCACAGTGACGATGTACAACCAAGTAGATGTTAAGGGTAACATTCCCACTTGGATCGTCAATAAAGCTCAGGTAGGGTCCTCCTAGTGCCATCAGTCGTACTCGATCCGTTCTCGCTTCAGAATAAACAGCCCGGGTGTTTGAATGATATGTACAAGCTTCTCAAGAACTAGCGATCAGTCCTCATAGCGGGGAACTTTATCACGAATTTCTTATCGTTTTCCCTAGATGACACTCTCGTAGGGTCATCAGTACCATTGCGCCCTTTTTCGCGGGAGACTCGCCATGTAAGACGTTCTGCGGCGAAGCCTGATGGGATAAAGCTTTATTCATATGCGGTCTTAGCGTTGGGTCTGACCGCCAGCCTCTTTGCATAACGCAGCGACGTCGTACCGTCCACTTCCTTCCTTTTGTGGATCTTGCGTTCGGATAGTGGAAGGCTCGAACTCGACTTGGAAAGATAAGCATGCTACACACGACTTCAGTTCACATTATGTACATGATTTCAGAGGAGTGCATTTCGGCAGATATGAAAATCTCCGCCCGAATATTTGCAGTTGGGACTGTGAGACTTAGTCTTTCGACTCTGTTATTTCAGTGTTTGGTTGAAACCCGAAACCCTAAAGTGCACACGGACAGCGCCTCAGTATTAAGCGCCGTAGATGGGCATCAGTGGGCGCCGTAGAAGCTCACCCATTCTGTTTCCCACATGCTTCCTCTTCGCCGAAGGTTTCTGCATCGCTGAGCCTTACGTGGTAACCCAAAGTTCTTCTTCATCTTGTCAGTCTCATTTGTCCTATGGCTCGCTTACGACAAGGCACTCACTTCTTGGGCCTCATCATCGGGGTCGCTCTATGCGTACTCAACTCTTCGTTATTTGTTCAGCCCAGTACGCAAACTTCAACAGCAGCTAACACTGCGTTGGTTGGGTCTGTTCGAGGCGGGAATCTGCGCCATTCTGCGATCGCGTCAAGCCTTCAAACGTCATCCTCTCCCTATTTGTCGGGTCTGGCCATAGCCGCAGTCGGGCTGGGCCTCATCACGTTTACTCGGGCCGTTCGCCGGAAGGCACTACCCGAGAGATATCAGCTCACGGACGCCGATACTGGCGAGCACAGATCGTTTTGGCATGATGTGAGTCTTCCCTACAGGAAACTCCACTCGGGGCATTTTCCTCCGATCCCGTGATAGGCATATATCAGATACCCCTGCGTGGAAGCGAAGGGAAGTTCATGTTCGTGACGGAGATACCGCGAGGAGTGCTCGCTCGGTACGAGCTGGAGCCGGACACGTCAGATATTGCGAATGATCCTCGTGGGACCACGGCGTTAAAGAAGTGACGACCCGTTACTGACAACCGAATGCCTTCCAGACATTTTATATCAGGTTGGGAGAAGGACCATGCTTCAATTACGGATTTCTACCACAGACGTGGTCGGATCCCATAGACTGGCATGACAAAATCACTGGGCTCAAGGGTGATGGTGATCCACTCGACCTCATAGAGATTTCGGGTACGACTCTTCTGTGGTCTTTGTCGCTTGAACATAGCCTCAGGTAAGCATTTCAGTCCGGGTGAGGTAGCTCAAGTACAAGTGCTCGGAGCCGTGTGCTTGATTGACGAGGTACGTTGCATTCCGAATACTTTCGCTTCGTGCATTTTTTGCGACAGGGAGCAGCGGATTGGAAACTAATCGGGACAGCGTGCTGCAAAGCTCTCACAGATGAGGAAGTAGCACGAGAAATGGAGAAGGTCAAGGCATGGATGGATGGCTATAAGGCGCTATTCGCTAAGGAACCCACACGTAAGGAAATGGTAGAGTTCAGTGACCGAGTATTGGACATGCTTCAGAGTGGTATCTCAACGGCATGATTTTCGATCGCACAATAGCGTTAGACTTGATCGACCAGCAGAACAAGGTGTGGTTAAAGAAGAAGGGCTTGAAGGCCAGTAAAGCAACATCGAAGAATTACAAAGTCGTGACGAAATAATTGTGTTTCTACCGAAAAAAGAGGTAGTTTAGT